CCACTAACTACTACTTACTATACTACTATAATACTCTACTATACTTACTACTACTACTACTACTACTTACTACTACGATGCTGTATACTACTACTTACTATACTACTACTTGCACTATTCACACGATCACCACTGCTGCTAAGACCGGTCTTTTTTATTTATTTACTACTACTACGACTCCCTCCACCACGTACTACTACTACTTACTTACTTACTACTACTACTACTAATACTACTCTACTACTTCGACAACTATACTACCACTAACTACCACTACTACCACCTAACTACTACTACTACTATACACTACTACACTACTACCACTACTGCTATTTACTACTGCCTTAATGCTACTACTATTACGACTACTACGACTAAATACTGATAGTATCACTTGTTATACTACTACTACTACTACTACTACTACTACTACTACTACTACTACTACTACTTCTACTATTACTACTACTACTACTACTACTACTACTACTACTACTACTACTACTACTACTACTACTACTACTACCACTACTAGTCCTACTACTACTACTACTACTACTACTACTGCTACTACAACTACTGCTACTACTACTACTACTACTACTACTACTACTATGTACTACTATTGACTTAAATAGTACTGACACTTTATATTCCTTACTTGCTACTACTATTACTTTACTACTGCTACTACTACGACTACTCTACTACTACTACTACTACTACTACTACTACTACTACTACTACCTACTACTACTACTACTACTACTACTACTACTACTACTACTACTACGACGACTACTACATGTAGTAGCATTACGACTACTACGATTTCTACTAGTAGTCATACGAACACTAGTAGTAATAGTATATAGTGCGCCTGCAGTTTGGGTACTTACATTTTTGCATTCCACCTTTCTTCGGCACTTGGCCGTCTTTCTCCATGGGATGAGTCCCTTCGCAACCAAAGCTGTGAATTTGTAACTTCCCGTCTAGGACGAATCACTTCACAACCAACACGCGTCAGCAGCGAAGTGCGTTTCTGATGTGGGACGGCGGGTATCTGGAATTGATTTTGCTTGGGTGGTGGGAAAGTGCCCTTCCTGGTTGTAAAGTGACCTTCCGGGGAAACCTTTGCTGGTTGGAAAGTGCCCGTGCTGGTTGTAAAGAGCCGTTCTGGTGTACAGAGACGCGCACGTAACCAGAGAAGAGGTATATTTTCCGAGAGTTTCCCAACAAACCCGATGTCTGACTTGCCGCGTCTCGAGCGCCCGAGCAACCTCTGCGTAGCCGTCCGCACCCCTCTCGAAGCTGCAATCCTCAGAATCCTCCTGGACGGCACCGCCGCCCTATTCCAATCGCTCACAATAGGAATCCTAGTCAAACCGCTCACACAAGGAATCCTAGTCAAACCGCTCACGTAAGGAATCCTACTCAAACCGCTCACACACAAGGAATCCTAGCCGAACCGCTCACACAAGGAATCCTACTCAAACCGCTCACGTAAGGAATCCTACTCAAACCGCTCACGTAAGGAATCCTTGTCAAACCGCTCACACAAGGAATCCTAGCCAAACCGCTCACACAAGGAATCCTAGTCAGACCGCTCACACAAGGAACCGCTTCCTCCCCCGGTGGCTCTGTCCGAGCCAGGCCTCGTCCAGGCCCGAGGTCGGGCGCCGCGGGGCTCCCGTCGCCACGCGGGCCGCGCCCCTCTCCCCGAGCCTCCGGTGCGGCCGCCGGCGATGGCGGGATTCGTACCCGGCGACGTTGGGCTTCCTCGCCTCCTCCTCGCTCCTCGCTCCTCCTCCTCCTCCACCTCCTCCTCCTCCTCCTCCTCCTCCTGCTCCTCCTCCTCCAGCCCCTCCTCCTCCCCCTCCTCCTCCCCCTGCTCCTCCTCCTCCTCCTCCTCCTCCTACTCGAGGCGGTGTCCCGGAAGGTGCGCGCGCAGGGTCTGCGCAGGTCAGCAGAGGTCAGCAAAGGTCAGCACAGGCCACGCAGGCCAGCGCAGGTCAGCACGCACCCCGCACTCTTCGCTCGGAGCCCATGCCGACTGCGCTGACGTGCGCCACCCGCGCTGTTCTGCGTGATCTGCGCAGACCTGCGCGGACCTGCGCAGACGCTCCACGGAGAGCGCCTCGTTCCGCAAATGCCGCCCATGTCACAGATGGGGCTCTTTCTGCAAAGGCCCCCGTTCCACCCAGAGGGCCCCGTTCCACGAAGGCCCCGGGACCATTCCACAAAGGGCCCCTTGTCATGAAGGCCCAGTTCCACAAAGAGGGCCCCGTTCCACGAATCCTTCTCGAGAAGCCCGTTCCGCGAAGGCCGCGATCGACAAAGGGAGTCCTGTCCCACAAGCCTTGGCCCGTTCCATAAAGGACCCGTCCCACTACGAGGGCTCCGTTCCACAAAAGCCTGGGCCCACTCACAAATTTTTGTCTTATTCTTTTTTTTTTTTTTTTTTCTTGTTTTTTTTCTTTTTGTTCTCCGTTCCCAAATAGCCTTGTTGGGCCCACTTTTGTTTTCTACCTGGGCCCACTCACAAAGAGGGCCCGTTCCACAAAGGCACCGTTCCGCAAAGATGGCCCCGTTCAACAAAGGCCCTGTCCCCGTTCCACGAGGATGTTAGGGACAAGGATGGTAAGGGGAAGGGGATAATCGGGACCATCCGGAGGTACAAGGTGTATACCAGGGAAGAAGAGGGAGATGGAAGGGGCACCAGTAGTATGATGGACAAGAGAGGTAAGAGTGATTGGAGGGACGTGAAGGACAGGAGGGATAGGAGGGATAATATCGGATCAGAGGGAAAGAATGTGCATGATCGATATGAGGGGTAGGAGGGCCAAAAGGGGTAAGGGGGCTATATCGGTTAGAGCGATTTTATGGGATGTAGTGGATAATGTGCACATACGGGATAGGAGGGGTGGGGTAGGAGGGAAGTTTACGATACAAATCAGAAGGGACATATGATGGATAGGACGGGTATGCTGCATATGACGGGTATGCGATGCGATGCGATGCGACCCGCGCTCCAGCCCCTTACGGGGCGGTCCTCTCAGAGGGTACTTCTATGGGACACGCAGTCCCGGCAACCGGGTGCACTGGAAAATGCTTCGCGTCAATGTGGAAAACAACACAGAGAGAAAGAGCTGCGTTCAGACAGGCATGACAGAACTCATATCCGGGAGCAGAAGGATAGATGGGAAGGGGCCAGAGAGATAGAATTGATAATCGGGATTTCAGGGGAGGGATAGGAGGGACAACCGGCAGGTATGAGAGGGATATGAGGATAAGAGGGGGTTGATGGATATGGCGGGAAAGAGGTGTAGGGGGATAGAGGATATGAGAGACAGAATGGCTAGGATGGTTAGGAGGGATTAGAGAAACATGGTTGGTAAGGTTCACAAGAGGTATCTGGTGGATAGGAGCGATAGAAGTGATACGAGAGATAAGAGGGATATGAGTAATATGATGAATACGACGGGTCGGTGGGATGAGAGGAGCAGGACGGATACGCTTGATAGGAGGTTAAATGGAAGTCTCGAACTGTCAGCTCGAGTTCTTCCTCTTGGGCCACCATGGGGCCCTCGTGGGCAGTACTGGGTCCCTCTTGGTGGCCTCCTGCGCCGTCTTGTGGCGTACTGATGACCGTCTTGAAGCGTCGGGAGCCTGAAAAGGCGGGAACGGTAACATCTTTCAAGTACCGAAAGGAAGCCCAGCGATGCTGACCTACTGGCGCCGTTTTGGGGGGCCTCCTCGGCCGTCATCAGGCCATCTCTCACATCTTGGAGCGATCTTTTTGCGACTCGGGGCCCTTGTGGACCGTCTCGGGGGCCTCCCGGGGGGCTCGTTGGACCCACGTCGTGGCCCTCCTGCGTCCAACAGCGCCGCGCGACAGCGCAGGGAGGCCCCAACGGCGCCCGGGAGCGCCAGGGCAACTCGGGGCTGCGGGCCCCTGCAGGAGCACTCGAGAACTCACGCAGGAGAGGCCCTGTGGGCCCTGAGGACGCTCCACTCGCTGCCTCGAGGCGCGGTGGCAGACTTGCAGCCCCAGCCCTCGTCGTTGCCCTTTCTCGCCCTGAGCTCGGGCACCGTTTCCTGGGTCACCCCCAGGGGCACCAAAATCATCGCGCTTCGCGCGCCGCGGCCAGTCCTTGAGCCAACCACCTGAGGCCTCGGCCGGCGCGTAGCTGTTGCCTCGCGCGTTGCCTTTGCTTCAGTTTTCTCGCGTTTCCTCTGCCCTCATTAGTCTCTGCGCAGCCCGCTTTGACCTGACCCGCCGCCGGCGCGCTCGCCCGCGGCCGCTGACAAAAAGCGCCGCGGCCAGGGCTGGAGAGGCGCCCTGCTCCGGGGCGGCGCGAGGTTGGGTGACCCGGGTTTCCATCGGCTGCCTCGTGCCTCCCCTTCCTCCTTCGGCTCCTCCCCCTCCTTCCTCTCGCCTCGCCTCCTCCTTCCCCTCCTCCTCGGACAAAATCGCTGGTCGGCTTAACGGTACAAATTTAAGTGCTTCACCTTGGCCAGCCCCGCGGTACAAGTGCTTCGCCTTGCCGTTTCGAAGGTTGTTTCAATGGAGGCGCAGTCTTTCGGAACAAGTCATGTCTTGGACCGATGGCCCCAGCAGTGTGTTTGGCTCACTGAGCCCGCGATGACACTTGAAAAGTGAGCATCCAAGACCCGCCCTTCCCAGCTTGCCTGCTCACGGAAGTCCCGGGCGAGAGCTCGGTTTGGGAAGGAGGGGTCGCCTTCCGTCCCGGCAGCAGTTGGAACATTGAAAATGTTGGGCCCTCAATTTGAAGCGAGCCTCGCGCGAATTCCAGGCGCAGTAAGGAGACCTGTTTCACACAGTGCTGAAACATCGGGGAGGCTGCGTGACAACCATCAGTTGCGTAGTTGTTTGCTGCTGTACGGTTGTTGAGAATCCCCCCTCTCCCTCCTGTTTCTTCCCCTCTCATCTCCGTCCCCGTCTCCTCCTGGACGTCCCATCCGCCGGTTCCGCCCAGGCAGCGAGGATGACTGCAACTTCCCCACGATGTCCAGCATTTGCAGCCGCACCACTTGCGATGACCCGCATGTCATGATCAATTTGGCCACTGCATTTGTTGCCGTTGTCGCTCTTGTATATGGCGCGTGCTTGTTGTCACGAGTGCAAGAGATCGTGCCGTGTGAATTCCCAATACGGTGCTTACACCGAGGGAGGGGTTCTTACGCGGGTCAGCAGTTTCAGGAGCCTCTTTTGCATGCCAATTGTGTGTGTGTGTGTTCCCGCATCTGCCCATCCACAGGGCTATTGTCTCAATTGTTCCGAATGTTGTTTTATAGATGTTGCCCAACTATGTGTTTGTGATTTCTCGTTTTTCCCTAATCAGGCTTGCCTAAGGGGTTCTTACTTGGTCAAAGGCTGGCGCCTCGGATTATTACGTTGCCCGTTGCTCAGAGATTCCTCGGGTTCCCCGGGTTCTTCGACCTCGGTGCCTCCGATTCTTACGTTGCCCGTTGCTCGGAGGTTCCCCAGGTTCCCCGGGTTCTCCAGGTTCCCGCGTTCCCTGGGTTCCCAGTTCCCCGCTCGGTAGCAAATCATGGGAGCATCGTGTACCCTCGCAATTCCGTCTTTAGCGTCGACTCGCGTCCATTAGCTTCTGGGAGTCGATGAGATAGCGCCGATTTAGCGTCGGTTAGCGCTGCTTTGCGTCAATTTAGCATCGATTTAGCCTCGACTAGGGTCGAGTCGCAAGAGCCGACAAGATGGTATGGGAGGCTCCCATGAGTTCCCACAGAAGGTTCCCCGGGTTCCCCGAGTTCCCCGGGTTCCTCGGGTTCCCCAGTTTCCCTTGGTTCTTTGGGTTCCCCGGGTTCTCCGCCCCTGGTGCCGCGTATTATTATTGTGCCCGTTCCAAGCAATGCCAAGCAATGCTAAGCAATGCCAAGCACTGCGCCCATGCGACAGGAACAGTTCCCCTAATTGGGGTCGCGCTGGGTTCATGATTAGAGCATTGTTCGCGCGTCTCATCCTTTTTCCTGATCCTTCCTCTCTTGCCTCCTACCTGCTTGCTTCTACCTTCCTATTTGCCGCTTGCTTCGCGGCTGCCTGCGGGTGCTGCCACCTGCGCGCGGTCACCATTTCCGTGGGCTTGGAGGTCCAGCGGAGTGGTGTCATACGCACATCCGGACTAGATCTCGCGGCTCCTTGCGTGTGCTGCCACCTGCGCAATTGTCACCGTGTTCGTGAGCCTCTGGGAGGTCCAGCGGAGCGAAGGGATGCGCGGACCCAGACGAGACCTCGCGGCTCCCTAGGGGTGCTGCCGCTTGCGGAATGGTCGCCACCTCGGCTCCTGGGAGGCTGAGCGCCGTGATGTCGTACGCACCTCCGGACTCGACCTCGCGGCTCCGT